AATCCATCCCTGGTATTTACATTGTGGAGGGAGTAGAATCTCAAGGTTGGAATGACGTGGCCCTCGTCTACCAAAGGAAAGGCGTGAGGCATCGTGCGTGGAACTATGTTTGAGGAATTAACCAAGTAGCTACTTGACCTAGTAAAGGCACTTGTTGAAGAATTCTGGATTTCTGGTGTCCAAATGAAAGGATTAGGTTGTACTGCAGGAAGCATATTCTCTGTTGTATCCACTAATATTTAAAGATACTACGTGAATTGAGAGAGACAAAGGAACCTCGGTTAGGTTATGTTCAACAGAGGCAAACTATTTGCCAGCCAGGAAGATTAGGAATGTTATCTTCTACAGAAATAGGCATAAACAATTCGACATGGAATGTGATGCTTATGCATTCCAAATCATAAGGAGGAGCGCTGGGATCAATCCAACAGCAAAAGGTTTCGTCAATTGTTTGGTAATTCGGATCTGAGTACCAATATTACCGACTAAACCGCCGTCACATTTTTAGTTTGTACTAGAGCTAAATAGATGACAGCGTAATCTGTGCTTGCTGTTAGCAACTTGGAGTATTCATGTAGTTTACCTCTGATATTTTGTGGCGTGAAGTCGTTCGAAGGAAGACACGGTTTCCTAACCTAAGTAATGCGTTAAGAAAAGAGAAAATGAAATAAAATTAATTATATGAATGTAGTGTTACAGTATGTGACATTTGGTATATGTTTTTGTTGTCAGTCTAAGAGGTTACGGTTATTTTTGAGTGTAAATACAGATAGTAAAGGATGTTACGTCTTCTTTCAAGGTACTGCTATGCACTTCAGTGTAAATGTGATCAAAATATGTTTGGGGAGAATAGTAAACAAATTTGGCAATAAGTTGTTTTTGGTAAATTAATGTTAAATGTCATTGTAAACTATTAATGATGACCCCAAAAAGTATACGCAGCATATCGACTTTTAGTTTATGTTAAGGTTTTTCAGTTAAAATCTGTCCGTACGGAAGTTTGCAGCTTCCAGTTAATCCTACGAAAATCATTGTTCAAATATGTAAATCTCGTAAAGTCCCAGCGAAAACTTTTAACTTATTCTTTCCTCAGTCGTACAGGATGAATATCGTCTACAGTGAGCCAGAGTTATAAACGTTGTAGTGATTAAAAACGAGGACAAATTTTAGAGAACTTCGAAATTTCAAGATAATATCCTGAAATTAATTGTGTTATTAAACCTAACAATATTACCAAATTTAAGTGATCATATCATCCATTGTGTTTAGTTGACATGTAATCACTGAAAACCCTTCACAGAAGCTGAGGGTTACACAGAATACAATTTGGGAATTTTTTTTGTGATACACATACATTCTGTTTGGAAATCAATTTTCCCCATGATAAGAAATAAATTGAGATGTCATATACATACCCACTTCTAGTGATTATGACTTCTTGCTTCTCTCTAAATATAATTGACATGAAATAGAATGATACTTGTGAGTCAATTTCAAATTGATTTATGTCACACAACTATCCAATCCATTTTTATAGAGAAAAAACATGAATACAAAATAAGTCACTTTTCTTTGTGACAATACACCAAACCAATTTCTCTCCAGGCCCAAAAAAAACATATGAGGTTAGTTGTGATTTTATTTCTCATCAGTTTTATATATATGCATGTGCATTGATATAAATTTAATTGTTTATTTAAAGGATAACAAATTCACAGCAGCTTCCTTCATGTCAGTTCTATAAATTGTCACCAGTACTGTTTTGCAGTTCAAGACATGAAGGCTCGTCAGATAATGGCTCTGAAGGCACAGTAAAGCCAAAAAAAAATGAAGAAGCAATCAAGAAATTGAATTTATTGCTAAAATCAATGACAGAGGTGAGTAAAAAATTACCATTTACAGGTTGTTTGTAAAATGTTTCCACTTTATGTGGGTCATGTGACCATTAACAAGTTATTACAGAAAATGTGTAGCTTTTGTATTGATTATGGAAGAGATTCTGCAGCAAATGTTGAGGATCTATGGATCCGGATTGAAGATTGGAGTGAGAGATGTGTGAATGTTCTTTAAGGATGACCCACCAGTAATTGGATTAATGAACAAAGCTTGCTGATCCATTTTATGTCTGAAATAAAGTATGGAAACGGATTGATGGAAATGTTGCGTTAATGCGCCGCGTTCATTGTAATTTTGCACAGCGCGTTGAACTATGCATTGCTAATCAGCGACAACACATTGAACATATCAAGTATTCTAATATAATATCAATAAACTATTTATTATGTATATTCACTTATGTTTCCAGACTTTATGGCTACTCCGTAGAATAATTGATCGACAAAGGGTGACGTGTTGTCTCATAGTAGTTTATGTTTTCTTTCTTGTTGCCTGGAAACACTCATTCATTTTCATGCGAAATATTAATGGGAAATTTGACCTTGACACAACATAAAATTAAATTACTGGATCTCACAGCATTTATAAAAATCTTAAAATTTTACGGAAAGTGTGACTTAATATTTAAATGTTTTTAATATTGAAAAAATTGAATATTTATTCAAAAGCTATGAAAAGCCATATTTATGAGTTGTCTTTGAGTGTAGACACAGTAGTCCTTCATATCTCTCTGTAGCGCGTATTCTATGATAAACGGAGGCTGCAGTCTCAGAGATGTACTTCGTTTTAGCTGTTACCTGGTGCGCACAATTAATGAATTAAAACTTCCTCGCTGTCCATGTTCATTGATTTGTCATGGAATTATGATTATGCGTCTATAATTCAAACAGTATTATTTAAATTTCTTTTAATTTTAGGAGGAACATGTGATATCATCTTCTGGAATTGGTTCACAGCTGGCCAGGCCACCGGTTAAGCGCAAAAAGGAGCAGATTAAAATTGGTCCGTAATTTGATTATTTACGTATTCTAAAGGTGCAAATACAAGTATTTTAGTGAATCAAAGGATGTTGCTTATACGTGTACGATGTTTTATTCTACATTAAATTTATATTATTAAAGTGACATTTTCCGTACGTTGTGACTCAGCTTCACAATGGCAGATTTGTTTTATTGCAGGAGACTCCCTTACCGTTGCAGCAAAAGAAGTTGCCGAAGTTTTAGGAGGAGATGTTAAACAGACAGAGTCAGAGCTGTTGAATAAACTTCTGTCACCATCACAGGCTGTCAACGAAAGCGAGAGTGAAACGCAGGCACCACCGATGAACTTAAGGTAGTAACATTTGCAATGAATACTTCTTCTTCTACGGCTCTCCGGTCCGTATTCGGTCCACGGCCTCCTCAATTCTCATCTTCCGTTTGGTCCTATCCTCCGCCGCCTTCGAATTTCTAATCCTCAGGAGCAGTGCGGCATCCGTTTGAACTGCATCCTCCCATCTGTTCCTGGGTCTTCCAACTGGTCTTCTTCCTTCAACACTTCCTTTGAATACTTAGTTTTTATCCTCCATTCACCTGTTTCTTGTGTCGCTGTTTTACTGTACTCAAATTTTCAACTCGTAAGTTGTCGCTGTGTGAACATTTTACTGTGCTAAGTTTGTTGGCTTGTTGCTTCAGAGATCTAATATCAGGAATGAGAATTGATCGGCGAAAGAGGTCCGAGCATGTGAGCGAGGAGGGGCGAGCGAAGCAAGTGCGTAGGATCCTTGACGGTCGTAAGGTAGCCACCGTACGAGAACGTGATCTGTCTGTCGGAGAAGTTGTTAAAGGGCAGCAAGGTCCAAAAATGTAAGTAGCTTTTGTTTTTGATAATGTCAACGTACTGCCCTGTGGCGTAATAATCATTGATGAACTATGTTTGATATTATTCATATTATCATGCAATGTATTATTAAATAAATAACAGGTATTAACATATTGGACCATGATGATGCAATAAACATAAAGCTTTAAAAAATTCAACAGAAATTTACATTGCCTACGGTGTTTCCGCCCGGGATCGAACCGGGGACCTTGCGTGTGTGAGGCGCACGTACCTGCACCTTGTCATGGTGGTGGGGCTTGAGTACGTCAATGACCCCAAGAGCTACTGGTAGGGCCTCCCTAGCCAGATTGGTCGAGGGGGAGAGGTCAGACTACGACAGGTACCCTCCATCAAAGCCTCGGACAGACGGACCTCACAGAGGACCGAATGGAAGAGGAGAATCGAGGAGGCCATGGACCGAATACGGACCGGAGAGCCATAGAAGAAGAATATAGGAAGTTTTTTCCTTTAAGACGTTCTGTTTGAGAACTTATCAGGGAAAATAATTTATTATTAAGGCCTCTGTAACAACAAAAATGTATTCCTGGTCCCTTGGAAGACTCGGTAGAAATACACTTGCCGACGGTACAAAAGAATCATCACTTCTTCATTATCTTGATATTTTTTTTATAACCCTATTTCATATTGGAGGAGGAGATTAAAAGTTTTCCTACTTCGTACTTTTCATTAATGACGAGGGATATGGTAAAACAAAACTGAGAGGTGCTTAAAATCTGTATTTGTTGGAGGTGCAGTGGGAAACCTCGCCATCTTTTTCACATGTAACATACACGTGTCATTTCAGATATACTGATAAAATAAATATTTTTGGTGGTGAACCTCTTGGTATCTTCAAGTCACCCGAATTGCAAGCAGGTAAAGTCTCAGATTTTCCATCAGAGGTCACCACGTGGCAGCGTCTCGAAGCCCGTGAACTTCGTCTGGCCGTGACGCATCCGCCATCTAATATATTTGAGGAAATGATTCGGTGGACCGAACAAGGGAAGCTGTGGCACTTACCAGTTAACAATGAACAGGGTTTGTAAAGTAACATTAAGTTGTCTTTCTTTACTTGTTTGATTTAGGATACCAGCGTTAGTTTTAACTTTAGGACCAGGACTGTGGAGTCGGAGTCAGCAGAAATGTACTGACTCCACAGCCCTGTTTAGGACAGTAGTAATAACTGGTTAGGTACAATATAAAAAATTGGCATAAGAAAGGGCTCGTGGCTATTATTTCGAAAATGAAACATTTGCGACCCCATGTTCATAGCAACATTTTTTTCTTATTTTTGATCCTGGAACATGTACACGAAGGTTGTAAACATACTTCTGACTCACCCTGTATATAAAATGTTAATACTTAATTATGTTTGTGGTGATTTGGTTATTGCACACTGAATTTTTATAAAAATATAAAACCCAATTTATTTATCATGGTCATAATAATTTGTGTTATGATTACCTATGCATCTGTAATGATAGTTTGAATTGGTATGTGGATGGACGGATGTTTTGGACGGAACAGGAGGGAAAAGCTAGAAGAAGTTAATATTTGGTGTGTGTATTATTTTTTTTTGTAATTACAGGTCAAGTTGAGGAATCAAAAGTGTATTTCACGGAACATGTGTTCCTGGAGCACCACTTGGATCCGTGGTGTCCGCAGAAAGGACCTGTCCGTCACTTTATGGAATTGGTCTGTGTCGGGCTGTCTAAGAATCCTTACATTACTGTGCAGATGAAACTTGAGCACATCACCTGGTTTCGCGATTACTTTGAGAAGAAGAGGCAAATTCTGCAGGATACAGGATCCATCCCCGCTGTTTCAGACAAACAGGCGCCGTAGCTTTGCTACCTTAAATACCCACTGGAAGTTTTTAACTTTGTCGTAATTTGTACCTAAGAAGGTATAAAATACAGTTTGCAATACGTCGCAAGTAAAATATATAGAAAATTAATACAATTTATTCTGCTCTGGAATCGTGATTAGGCACAACTATATTTGTGTGCCATATGTTAACCCCTCGCCTTATATGTCCCCCCTCCCTCTTCTACGTCATATGCCTAGCTAAATGCAAAAGATCTTATCAGTAGTTGACCTATTACAGCAGAATCTACATCGACAGTTTCATTCGTAAATGGCGTTAACTGTGCCAGAAGAATATTCGATAAAATTTTGTATGACGTTGACGAAAGAGAGATACCTCGTAAGTTACTGCACTTTGCTTTGTAGATAGGGAAAACAGTTGATTTTTTCCACTATTGAGGTTGTACTTCCTGGTTCAAAATCGAGACTATAAGCTTATGTATCTCTGAGTGCAGTGTCCCACCACCTGCATGGATCAGTTCCGCCAGAATTGAATGGATACCTGGAGATTTATAACATTTTAATTTACCAATTAAAATTTCAACTTTAATAAGGCATAGTTCCGTGATGAAGGGTTCTGCTGTATGTACTTCGGGCTCTACGACGCCATGCAAGTCCATGAGCATATGTGTCCTAGGCTTGTACCCCTTCTCAAATTAATTTATGCATCTGTACAACTCTGGTGGTTTTATTTTTGCTGTTAGTTTTAAACTCCCCTAGCTGAGCTTTGATATACTCCCTTTTCTTATTCCTAAAAGCTCTGCTGGTTTCGTGCCTTACGCTGACATACCTATAACTATTTATTCGTGTACGGGCCTGCAGCCATTGCAATCTAACGTGCTTCCTCCGTTTTACCAAGATAGAGCATTCTTTGTCAAAACATGCGTTATTTCGCGAAATTTGAAACCCTGCACTCTCCTAGGCTGAAATTTTCATGTTATCCCGTATATTTTCCCAGGTCTTATTGACGTCTACTTCCCTATTCTCTGTATTTTCATCAACGTTTTCTAGGATTGCAAATCTGTTCGAAATTTTTACCTGATACTCGTGCGTAGCTTCTACATAGCTCAGTTTTTTGACGTTGAATTTCTCATTTCTGTGTATCTGCCCCGGCTGTTTTTCTGACCGAGAGTCTTCCCCTTAATTTTGCTATCGCTAAATAATGGTCCTCAGAAAGTGGTCACGACGGTCAAGCTGACCATAGACGATGAAATAAAAAATGGTCAGGGGTTCGAATCTCACTCAAGCCGTGGATATTTGTTCGCGTTTTTCTGTGTTGAGCTAAAAGTAACGTACTGTTAAGTTAATTTTAAGGAAGATTGCCACTGGACATGTATTCCGCACGTTATTAGACAATGTCAGAAGATTTACTGAATGTCCATGTAGGACAGATTGTAAATAATCAGGGATGTTAAAAAAAATAATAGTCACATTCCGCACGCCTACAAGATCACACGTCTATGAAGATTGACCATCTCCTCCGAACGATTATAATGTGATGAATTTGATTATGGGTCATTCCATCAAGGGAAGTGTACTTATGGTTAACAAGATGTTGGAATGTTGTGCTTTTGTTCCGTAGTGTGTGCCAACCAAATTATCTGTCACAGACAATTCTAACATCTATGGCGTGCGTCTTGTTTGTAGTTACGTTGGTGGCAAAACCACCTATTTTAGCGAACACGAAATGTGTTGCCGTTTTAGTATACATTGTTTTCTTATCATTTGTTCCTTTTTGGGGAGTTTTGCAACTTGACGTGTTATAGATTATGTATCCTTAACAGAATTAAGGATTCGCATATTTTGAAGATTACACGCCGAAGTTTGAGGTTATATTTGTTTGAGAAACATAGCGTAAATGGAGGAAGCTGACAGTAAATACCCACTTCTGCCATCAGAACGCGAAGATGTATTAGAAGATTGCAATTTGTGGACAAGGTAATTATTTTTTAAATTGTATATATTACGTTTTCGAGAACAGGATTTTCTTTGAAATCAAAGCATACATATTTTTTAACCTTGCCTTATGACCAGCATCATTAGAGGCTCAGTTGTACATTTAGTTTGCATATCACGAAACACTTTGTCACTGTATTTTCCACGTTTTATAACATTTAGTATTTATACTAACTGCATTTTCTGTATTGACAGTATCACGAAATAATCCAGGAAGAAAATATTAGGATCTTCTAATTGGTACAAATTTTGACAAGGTGAAAACAATTAATTCTATCTCATATACTGCAGCACCAATTCATTAGTGTTTCAGATTGTAAATTAAATTTTGTACATTCCTGAGATGAGTCAGCTTTGTATCTTTTGGTAAGTTCCTTGACCATGCCAGCCAGCTGAGTGATTGACCACTGATGCAGTTGCCAAGGGTGTGACTACAAAGGAATCTTTTAGTGTCATGCCTTTCTATAGTTTGACAGCTTTATTTAATCTTGTAACCCGACAGCCTTTCATTAACTCAAGTCACTACGAAAGCTTGACTTTATACATTGCAGAAATGTTTAAGAAATTTATTAATCTTATGTTTAATTTAATGTGAGACCTGCTTGCAGACTGACAAATATTTTATCTTTATCAGTGCATTAATTTTTTTTAAATATGTAGTTTATTTGACAGTGCTTTTAAGTAGCTCAGCATTCTGTATGTATTGAGAGATGCACGGCAAATCATGACAAATCTAAGCTAACCTAAGATGTTTTGTGGAAATTTAATCTTTTACAATACTTTCGTATTAATATTAACGTGTTTCAGGACCGAGAAGCGAAAATGGCTTTGCACTCTCTTCATTGGGACGTCAGCTTTATATGCCAGTAGAACCTCCGTCCCACTGTTAGTTCCTGCAATTGCCTTGGAGAGAAAATGGAGCAAGACGAACTCTGGCACCGTATTGTCCAGTTTCTTTTGGGGATATACATTAACACAAGTGATTGGTGGCTACTTAAGCGATAGAATTGGTGGCCATAAAGTTATATTGACTGCTGCCGTAGGGTGGTCTCTATTTACGTTTTGCATGCCAGATATTATAAGGCTATTTTCAGCTCAAGAAACTTCAGTAAATTTTATTGTAATTATGAGAATTCTTCATGGAGCATTCCAAGGTACGCTATTTACTGAGTCTTATGAGCAGCTAGACTCTAGAATGTCGTAATACAGGATAATATCTAGTAATAGAAATTAATAGACTGCTAAATATGACAGTAATCATGGTAATACAGCAAGCTGGAATGAATTATTTTTTTATAACTGCGACATAAAAAAATTAAAGACGAAGGAAGAATTCTCAAAGTGGCCGCTTAGTAAGAATATGCAGTTAGGGTGTGTTTGTACTTTCATGATCTCTAACATTACTGGGGATACTGGGAACGACCCGTTCTTCAAGTGTCTGAGCACTGCGGGTTGCAACTTTTCGTTGGCTCGATCTATAGATATTTGGTAGGACTCCTTGGACGAGGGATCGGCCCGTCGCAAGGCCTCTACCTGTACACAGGACAGCACAAACATCCGTGGCTTGAGTGGGATTCGAACCTACGGTCCCAGCGACCAAGAGGCACAAGGCCCACACCACTGCGGACCCCTCTCTAACATTGCTTCACTTAATATGCACACACATTTAAATATTTGTTTTAGGATACCGCCATGCTGCTTTTCTTCGTTATTTGATTAAACCATTTTGAAATTGGACTTTTTTATATCCTGTGTGCAAAGTATATAATTGTGAAACCAGGTAATATGGCAGAAAAGAATCTAAATTTACACTTTGGAAGTTGAGAGTTGCAATCACATCTCCACTTATTTCTTTCTTCATACGTCTTAAACGTTCATTGCTGGTTGAATTAAATACGCACCAAATTTGAATCTTATATTCATTTCTTTGTACAGGTGTTCATTTTCCAAGTATGAGCAGTTTGACGAGTCGACATTTAGCCGAGAAAGAACGCACATCATTTTTTAGCATACTGACCTCTGGTTCGGCTATTGGAACGCTGTTCACTGGCACATTTGGGTCATATCTGTTGGACTATTACGGCTGGCCTGCCGTATTTTATGTTATCGGTATGTCCGTTATACGTTTCGAGACATAAGATTTCTGGAAAAGTATTTTATTTATATTTCTTAATTTCAATACATTTACTACATAGCTTCGTAGTTTCATTGTGTTATCTGTTAATCAGCTTATGTAGCGTACTGCATTTTGACAGGTACCATTGGAGTAGTTTGGACACTTGTTCTTCGCAAGATTGCCTTAGCATTAGAGAGGAGAAAAGCTGTAATTAATTCTGTTCCGTGTAAACTTCATTCTTCGCTGCGTGTGAAAGATAACATACCTGTTCCTTGGATCAGATTATTTCAAAGATCGGAATTCTGGTAAGTTTACTTATACTGAGTAATGTTACTAAAAAAGTTGGTATTTTGTTGCTGAACTTGTTGGTTGGTTGATTGTTTATAATGCCTTCTAACCCCCAAGAAATGTTAGTAAACTTCTACCAGACTACACGGTGCATCAACCCAGAAGACGGCCATTTTCTTCCTTCTAATCCTATCAGATTTGACGATCCTCGCTCCACTGTCTTAAGCCATCTTTGTTTCTTCTTAAGTAATTGCCTGATACCTCCAACTTAACTGTTGCTTATGTGTAGCTAATTTTGTCCTTGTTTCTTTAAGGAGTCTTTACTGTTAATGATCTATTATTAGTTCCTTAACTGAAGGTTTTTCTATGATTGATGCTTACTTACCGTTACCTAAGGTTGGCAAGGCAGTGCTGGAGCAGATTCGCTTGTGGTTCTCCCGTTCTCCCTGATGTACATTCAAACGAGCAACATTTGCGATAACGTTCGTGACGCAGTCCAACGCCAGAGTGCCTGCAATCTGAACCATTTTTTTTCTGAATTTCGCCTGTGAATAGGTCATAACCGCACGTCCTTCCAAACTTATTGTAGTCGCAGGCTTCCTCACAAATTACCCAGTGCTGAATAATACGTAGTCGGCACTGTTGAATCGCTTGTCATTCTTTTCTTCATTCACTCTGTGAAGAAAAGTTGTTACCTATTGAATATCACAGCTGAGTGGTAAGTACTCCTGTTTTGTATTTGGGAGGTCCTGGGTTTTCGTCGTGACCAGGGGATTAGCTATTCTGGCAGGGGTTTTTTTTTTTGTGGTTTTCCTCGATATCTCCAAGCAAATTCCAGGATAGTAGCTACTTTAAATTAGGCCACAGCTGCTTTCTTCCTATCCCTCCCAATTCATAATTTATTAATTATCCGGTCATTTAATGCCATATAATCTGAACTGTTTGCAGAATAGTAAAAACAACAAATAAATAAATAGATAATATTAGACATTAATTTTACAAGTAAAATTCCAAAAGTATGATGATTTGGTGCTTGACCACCAAAACTAGTTTCTGTTTACAGATTGGATTATCAAAAAAAGTTTTAACGTACATTTGCAACTGTCTTTACTTTTTTTACCCTGTCATGCTATAATAATTCCAGATTACATGTACTGATAAAGTAGAATGTTATTAATTAACTTGAATGTGGTTAAAAGAAGAATTTTAACCCTCTTCCGTAGAAAGACTTTTGGAATGTGGTCATAACACATTAATTATTAAAAGCTATCAAAGTTAACATGAATAAGGTCGTAACGATATTGTGTTTCTACGGTAGGGTTCAGTATTCTCTCAATTTATTTTCAGGTCATGTGTCATCGGGCACGCGTGTCAGAACAATTGCTTCTTCCTCCTTTTATCATGGCTACCTACGTATTTTCATGACACCTTCCCTGAAGCAAAGGTAAAACTAAAGCGGCCTCTCCACGTACGAGTCTGGCTCGGCGAGCTTGACTCGTGAGCCGGGATCCGATATATTTCAAGACACGCGTAGCAGATTCGGCTCGTGACACCCCACCCACAGACGAGTTTGGCTCGATGGAACCCGACCCGAGCCAGACTCGTACGTGGATGGGCCGCTTTAATGCATAGAATGATAGTTTCAGAATTAATGTTTAAAGTTGGTACACCACGTGTGGACAGGGTTCGTATCACAGGCAGGCTCTGAGAAGGTTTTTATTGGATCATGAAGGAATAAATGTTGCACTGTCAGAACATTTTTCATGGACTGTATACATTTATATTGTGGAAACGCTTTGAATTCCTTAGTTTTTCATGTCGATAGCCAATATTCAAGCTGACATCCAGACGCAGTAGATTAGCTTTAGAAGTTAAAACCTTCCACTTCTCTGTTTATTTAAATGCATACTTAGGTACAGAAAACCAGCCTGACGTATTAATTTAATATACTTTTGTTTCCTTTCGCTGTTTATTTGATGTCTGTTATGTAGTAAGATTGTCAGGATCTGAATTTTTCACTAGGCCAGGGATTGAACTCATTACCTCCAACTTACCAAATTTATGCGTTTTCATTCTTAATGCCACGTTTTGACTTTCGTCCGTTTCGTTCATTGGCCAAACTATTTTTTATAAAGCGGAATTTCTTACCTAGATGAAAAATTCATGTTTACAGATGTTCAGAAATAAAATTCAGTTTTAAGAATGTTGTTACGTGATTGTAATTGAATTCTGTTTTAGGGCTGGGTGGTGAACATGGTACCATGGCTATTTTGCATTCCTAGTACATTTCTAGGAAAGTGGTTGTCGGAAAAGCTTATTGCGCATGGACATTCCATAACGTATACCAGGAAGGTAATTGAAGTAATTTGCTTAGGCTCACAAGCTTTGGGCCTTATTTTAATAGGTAAGATATTTGGTGTTAGCTATTAATAGTTTTACTCAAATAAGATAAGTAATATAAGATTCTATTTTTCTTTATGTTGAGCCGACCCATCAGCTCTTGAGTGCGTAGAGGTTAACGGGGGCGACCTTAGGACTGGTGAGGGCTGGCTGAACTATGGATGTTGGATCAATACTGGTGAGGGCTGGCTGAACTATGGATGTCGGATTAATACCTGTCTTTTGCTGCGTAGGCGCAGGATCGGAGGGGGGGTTAAATGTCTTGTCCGTGTTAGCACATGGATTACTGTTGTTTGAACCTCCAGCTGGAGAAGTGTTTTGGCTGTGGGTGTACTGCAGTTTCCCCAAGATTTAGAGGTAGCTACTTATTTATTTAATTATAATTTTACTGCATACATTTAATCTTTTATAATATTATGTAATACGTGGCATGACAGTATTTTGAAACTAACGAAGTATCCAGAAAAGAACAGTTCTGCCACCATTACCTTTGCACATGTATGAGTGTGCGTGTGCACGTGCACACTCACCTTTGTTTCTCTTTAGTAGCTTTGTTGTCGATATTAATTTTTTTGTGTTTAGGTCAGACCAAAGACTACTACTGGGCTTTGATATGTATGACTTTGTCAATATCAGCAACTGGCTTTCACAACAACGCTATTATAGTAAATCCTCAAGATCTTGCTCCGCAACACTCTGGAAGTGTTTTTGGGCTCATGAATACAGTTGGTGCTGTTCCTGGTAAGATGATTTAAATTATTTCGTAATATGTATTTATTTTTAGGCAGTATTCCAAAAAGCGTTATAAATATAATTCTCAACTTAACACGCGGAACACAAAAATGAGGAAACACGTCACAATAACAGGAAGGGAGTTTGAAACATTTTGGTGACTTGGTACATTCTTAATCTTTAACAAAATTTAATTCATGTTTTCAGGTTTCATGGGTGTTTACCTGGCGGGTTATATCTTGGAGACAACGAATAGTTGGGTTGCCGTCTTTCAGACAACAGCTGCTATTAATATGTTTGGTTGCGTAGTCTTCCTCGTGTTCGGTAGTGGCAATGCCATTGTCTGAGTGCGCAACACATTTTTTTTGCACTTGAAAAATGGTAAGGTATGTATGATCTGCGGATGGAATTCTTAAAAAAATAACTATTTCTGCTAACACATTCTGTAGACAAAGGAATATTACTGTCTTAAATTTGAACTATTATTATCCTTCACATTTAATCCACCTTGTTTTTCAAATAGATATTTGACAGCTGGTTTATGTTTCCTTAGAGAAAGGTGTAATTGTCGATTGAATATCGGAATTCGGAGCTAAAATAATACGTCATTTTTATAATCTATTCCGAGTGCTAATTATAAATGTTGTTGAAGGGGAAATAGGTATTTTCTGATGTACACTTTTTGTCTTCTGCAAGACACTGCCATATATAACGGGATGCAGTACTTACAAATGTGATATGTAAGTACTCAAAAGAAAATTACGTTTATTAAATTTATTTTATTTAGCCACGGTGGTCTAGCGATTAGAACGCTGGCCTTGTAATCCTGGGGTCTCGGGTTCGATTCCCGGCGGTGCCCGAATTTATAACTTGTGTTGGGCAAGGCCGTGGTCTAGGCAACACGGAGTTTTCCTCCGGGGGCTTCCCCGGTTTCTCCGTGGCATCCCAACAATTACTCCAGTCACACACAGAAGAAGGCAATGGCAAAACACTTCTGGATCATCTGCCAAGAACATATATGAACAGGTCCCAGTCCGAGAAAAGGAGGGAAGGATCCTGTTCATATGGACCTGTCGTCAGACAGAACACTAAATAATAATAAGATGAGGTGGTCTAGGCAACACGGAGTTTTCCTCCGTGGCATCCCAACAATTACTTCATTCACACACAGAAGAAGGCAATGGCAAACCACTTCTGGATCATCTGCCAAGAACGTATATGAACAGGTCCCAGTCCGAGAAAAGGATGGAAGGATCCTGTTCATATGGACCTGTTTATTAAATAAGTGATGATAATTCTCTGTGTTTTTTGAGGTGGTGTCTGAAACTAACAAATTGACTGTACAGATTGTCAGCAATACCACATGCTCTAGAATATTTTTTCCTGCTTTTGTTGCTGTTTTGAGAACAGGGTGCGGAGGAGAATATTTGGACCTAAGAGCAATGGACAAAACTGTATAATGAGGATTTCTGTAATTATGCTCATCATCATATGCTATTAACATGATGATAGCAAGGAGGACGGAGAATGTATCATGCATGGGAAAGTTGAGAAATAAATACAAAATTTTTGTTGGAAAACCTAAAGAAAAGAAGCCATTTGGAAGACCTAGGCCTTGATGGGAGGATAATACTGAAGTGGATCTTAAAGAAATGGGATTTGACATTGTGAACTGGATTAACCTAGCTCAGATTAGTGCCTAGGGAGTGGGATGTTATAAATACTAAAGGACCTTTTGGTTCCGTAAAAGATGGGAAATTTCTTGACCAGTTGAGTGACTATTGGGTTTTCAAGGAGGTTTCTTCTCCATTTAGTCGGCTGTCTAAATACTGTACATGAGACGTGCAGCGGTAACATAGAACTGTAAAGGATAAGGCAGGTGGCGTTTTATGCCCTGCAAAAGGTGAAGTGCTTAAGCGCCACATCATGAAAATGTGTTTGTCTGTGTCGGGAGGTGGTGTCTGACACATCCTTAAGTTACTTATATGGAGGCGAGTGGTCTACTTCATACTGCTGCTCTGCCCCTGGAGAAACAGCCTTCACAGTCCAGTAGATATGAGGCTGGATGGGCCTCCAGAGTCAGCCTGTACATGGGAATGAGGAAAAAAATTTCTGTCCTCGTCAGAAATCAAACCCTGGTTTCTCGCCCCTTAGCCAGTCGCTGCACTATCTATCCTGACATTTAGTTGTGTTCTTCTCGTAGGAACTGTTCTGGCATTCACCTAGAACTGATAAACTGTAAGAATGTAGTATCGCCAGCATTCCAGCCCATATATAAAGTTCTTAGAGAAAACAGGACCTGAATTTGGGGACTGGTTTCAGCTGCTCAAGATAGAGTCCATCGGACATGGTGATGGGTTCTCTGAAACAGAAGCTTTCTTGATTGGCCGAGTCTCGACTTCGAAAGGAAGAACCTTCTTCGCATAGGAAGTTACCTCATGAATTCATGTCGGACACATTACTGCAGAGGTAACCTGTTTAAAGTTTTGAAGGATCTTATTAAACCTGTCATTACAGTGAACTTTTTTGTGTCTCGTCAATTGTATTTGTTAAAATGAAAATATAACAAATCCTGCAAATTGAAGTGCCACATATCATAGATACCTCATTTGCATGAACCGAGTCTATTTCTGTCCAGTTATATCCTTGAAAGAGTTATAGTTGGTATGATAGCAAGCTGGAAATGTTTACTGTCCATGTCAGCTTTGTTTCGTGTTATCAGCATCTGTTTGTTAAATTGTAATTTCCATTAAACTAATTATTTAATAACAGAATTCTTAATATATGTCTATGTGAATAGCCAGACAGGGAATGAAATATATTTTTGGAATTTGGAAGTGTAGATGGGAATTGTGGCAAACTGTTTAACAGTTTTTTGAGATGAACTGTGATCAGGATCTGGATCAAGAATTGCCGAGTTAACTGTTTGCATCTTCTGGATAGAAGTGTAGTTACCAATTGAGCTATTATCAAGGTGGCAGGACAGTGCAGGTTATACCTTTGTTTTTTGCCATTGTGACTGAATTGCTAATATGTTTTAAGGATTAATATTGAGCTATGTAGGCCACTGATAACATGACATAGCATGATGTTACCTCTATAGGGCAACAGGGATAACAGGTGTAACGTGGATATCAGTAGGCAGTGCTATTCTATACTAATACACACACACAAAACCCCTCCAATTTCGCCATTAATTTTCGGTCATAATAGACATGCTGAGCAGATTTTATCACTAACTATGGGGCTGGAGGATTGCGAGTCGGTATAATAGACATGCTGAGCAGATTTTATCGCTAGCTATGGGGCTGGAGGATTGCAAGATGGAGAGGATAATAAAAACAGAACAATTGTTTCATGTGTTTTTATTTCAGTGTTTTCAAGAGCAATAACCAAGAATAATTAATCGTAATTGTAACAGTGTAGAATAAATCCTGCTCGAAGTGAACACGTTTAAACAGTGACATTCGTTACATTATGTTGGTAATCTGTGCCCTCCCATGTGTTTATGTGTTGGTAGACTCATTCACACTATAAAACTTATAGCCAATTCGCTTTAAAACATTTTAAATTGACTAATGCGAACGTTCTAAGTCACTGAAAGGACTGTTCCAAGAAACGTAGAAATCAATTCAACTTTTTACTTTTGCGAACTACTGCTTGACTGCCCAGTTTATTGGAATGTATGAACAGCTGCTTTTCAGCAGGTATTATTGGGGGGCAGACTGAAAGGCTATAATTTCTTTTGTTAACAAAATTTCTTATTGTAAACTTTAGCAAAATGAGTGATAATTGGCTTTGTGAAACTTGTTCATTTTTAAAGTGTACGGAAAATATCAAATGTTGGCCAGCCTTTTCACATGCGTAAGCATATTACATAGATGCACCGAGCTTATTTCCTTTCCTAATTCTTACGTAAACAGATCTATTTTTCTTCTCCTTTTCCGAATACAGTTGATATTACATTTAATGGAAATACAACAGCCATATGGACACCAACACGTCTACTGCTGCCATTTCATTTTACTGACCTTCGGTGAATTGCGTATGTGAGCTTATTTGAATTCGAGCAAGTTGATTAGTGCATGGTTGGCAATCCGTGTCACAGATATCCATTACCAGAGATGTTGATCATAGTACTGAAGTATGTAAAATGGTGTGGATTTGTGTAAACGTTCATTGGATAAAAGAATAAAAATTCAGAAGGTCAAAGAAATGGGACGAAATAAATTACGTGCGTATTCAACGACGTGTATAGTAATATAGATGTCTGATGATATCAATGAATTATAATGAAGTTAGATATTATGGAAGTTTTTGATGGTACAAAGAAAAAGGAATTATATCGCTCCAGTCCATGATCCACTTTGCATTTTATTAATGTTTATAGCTTTTTGCGTGATACATTCTTCTGTGTCCAAAATGTATGCTAGGTCTTAGAGTCATGTGTCAGGTTGGGTTATAATCGAATTGTACAGAATATGCTGAGCCGAGTTCTAGATATTGCCATATTAAATTTTATTGTTGTGTATCTAATATTTTGTGACATGCAATGCTTGATGGAGTTTGGTGAATGATCAGATATCTGTTTCCTCATTAGTACCCTTTAAATCACATACATATATGTTCCAGCACCCTGGCCGCAGTTAGAAACATTTATGGAAATCATCTTTTTGAATCACATGCTGATAGGTTAGGTTATGGTGACATCATACACCAGACTTTTTGATCAAGCCTTGTACTGTATAGCCATATAAAGAACATTGTACTTCTCTGTTGGATATTATGTTGTAGATCATTTTGATTTTAATTATGTTATCCCTAGTCCAAGGTGAGTGTTTTGTTTGTATTTTAGGTTCTGACCTGAGTCGAGAGGAGCGTATGGTCATAACTGTAGCTGAAATCATTCAGGAACTCCTTAAGGCCCATGAAGAAGGAAAGGATGTGAATTTAAATAGATTGAAGACCAGAATTGCCTCCAAATATGGGATGGAAACTTCTCCTCGTTTAGTGGATATCATTGCAGCAGTTCCATCTGACTACAAGAAGATTCTGCTACCAAAATTGAGAGCAAAACCAATTCGCACTGCCAGTGGAGTAAGTAATTATTATGCATTCTTTGTGTGAAGTGCATTGGTACTGGATGATGTCTAAGAAGATAGGACAGTAATTGAGTTACTTTAAAGGGTTCTAAGAAACTGAGTGAGAGCAAACAGTTCGCTGTGTGTCAGATATTGTGGACTTCTGGCAGTATTATCCTTAATTACTTACAATTAAAAGTAATTAATTTTGATTTCTTTGTTTGTAGATCGCAGTTGTTGCTGTGATGTGCAAGCCGCATCGTTGTCCCCACATCAATATGACAGGTAACATTTGCGTGTACTGCCCTGGAGGACCCGATTCGGACTTTGAATATTCTACTCAGTCGTACACAGGCTACGAACCAACATCAATGAGAGCCATCCGTGCTCGCTACAATCCGTATCTTCAGACCACGCACAGAATAGAGCAGGTATGTGAGATTTTAGTTTATTGTGCCAACAGCGTATAATTTTGAGAAACTAAGAAATGTACAGCGTCATGATATAATTTCAAATAATTTGTCAAATAATTGTGGAAGTTTTTGCAACAAAATGAACAGTGTATGAATACAGTTTATCTCTAAATGTTACTGATGATGGTGTTCAATTACTATTTTCAATTTTTTGGACTTTTATGAAGCATAATGACGATTGAAAAAGTGCAAACAATTTAAATTAGTGTATTTATGTCTTTAAAAAAATAACGTTATGTCTTTCATACTGATTTGAATTTTCTTTGACTATCACATTCAGAGCTGATGACGATAATCCAAGTTCACACCGAGGAAGCACGAGTGCCCGAGTGTTTATGAGTTTTTGTTCTGAGGGAATGATTTTTCTTTGCTTCTGTGTTAGCCACTGAAGTGGTAGGAAAATCAACAGGACTGAAAAAAAATATGTAATTATGGGAACATTTCAGAACATAAATACATAAACATTCCAGAATGTAAATATGAGGGTTTATTGCCTGTACACCGCTACGGTGGTCTAGCGGTTAGAACGCTGGCCTTGTAATCCTGGGGTCTCGTGTTCGATTCCCGGCGGTGCCCGAATTTATAACTTGTGTTGGGCAAGGCCGTGGGCTAGGCACCACGGAGTTTTCCTCCGTGGCATCCCAACAATTACTCCATTCACACACAGAAGAAGGCAATGGCAAACCACTTCTGGATCATCTGCCAAGAACGTATATGAACAGGTCCCTATCAGAGGGATCTTGTTCGTAATGTCACCAGGGGTCGCTCCGACCCGATGGTTAAAAAAAACTGAACATCATACTTATTTTTCTATCAATGAACTCGACATAACGTAACCGTGTAGTCAGTACTCCTGCTTCGTATTTGGAAAGTCTGAGGCGCATTTCTCAGTTCAGCGTTTGACTATTCTGTTCTTAGTCCCTCCGTGCAAATACTGGACCATCACCTCGAAGTAACCCGTGACTACTTCCTCATTTTTAATGTTTCATCATTTACAATAATCCACCTTTTTAGTGTCGTATAACTTTCGCAGTTGAGGAATAAACGTCGAAAATGAAATCCCTGAGAAACGGGCATCGTAAAGTGACATTCTAAAGATGAGGAATCATATTAATGGAAGCGTACAATGAAACTATGCATTTTCATTTGTTTACAGTTGAAACAGCTGGGTCATAGTGTCGACAAAGTTGAATTCATTGTAATGGGAGGAACATTCATGTGTCTGCCCGAAGATTATCGTGACTATTTCATTCGTAATTTACACGATGCCTTATCTGGACATACCAGTAATAATGTAGATGAAGCTGTCAAGTAAGTTTTTGTTATATTTTAGTAATATTTGAGATGACAGTAAAGGGCGTTGGTATTTTTTTTTAACTTCTGTCAAGTTTTATTTGTTTATTTGTTGTAAAGTTAACACCAGCGCAGGGGATGCACATGTCTGATGATGGGTCACCATTGGATGATCAAGGTCGCCTGTTTTCTGCGCTTACGAGAAGGAAGCGTGTTGGTGAATCTGTACATTTCAGTTCCCCGTTCCCATTTTTATGCGTAGTAATGAACTGTGATTCATATCAGAACACGAGCGGCGTGTGCTTACTTAACCCGTTTAAGTTTTGTGTTTCCCTCGTCTAATATTTATTTTCAGTGTGTGTTTTTCCTCTCCTTGTTTTCTCATTTATTCCTTTCTTTGCATAAATATTTTCCTGTATTTCTTATGTATTTTCTGTTTGTAAAATTTGTTCCCTTTTGTTTCCTTATTCATACTCGGCTACATATTACACAAAATCAGGTTTTTGTCTATTCCAGAGATTAACAGATCTGTCTTTCTATTCACGTACTCCACAAAACATAATTCTTCTTCTCATCCTTTTTTTTTACCTCTCAACTAAAATACTTTGTTTCTGTATAATAATTGGATTTAGACTTGAGTCCTTGTGCTGGCCGACCTTACAAGGTGAGAAAATAGGTACGGAGGTTATTTTTGGGTATGAACTTAATTGGTATAGAACATACATTTCTTTTCAGATACTCAGAAAAGAGCAAAGTCAAGTGCATTGGCATTACCATCGAAACAAGGCCAGATTATTGCCTGAAACGTCATCTGTCTGACATGCTGCGATACGGGTGTACTCGACTTGAAATTGGAGTGCAGTCGGTATATGAAGATATCGCTCGGGACACAAATCGAGGGCACACGGTGAAGGCTGTTTGTGAAAATTTTCAGCTAGCCAAAGATGCTGGGTTCAAGGTCGTTGCTCACATGATGCCAGACCTTCCCAATGTCGACTTCGAAAGAGATATTGAACAATTTGTTGTAAGTCTCTTCGGGCCCATAATCTGTTAGTTCTGCGCGGTATTAAGGCAGAATTTGTACTTGTTATGGTCAAAAGTTAGAATTTTTTTTAATACTTGTGAAAGGATAGCGCTTTGTGTGCGCAAGGAAATTGCAAACTTCGTAGTTCATATGAGAGGACAAGGAACCTTTGGAAGGAAGTGATAATATGGTTAACTTTAACAGACTTACTTAACGCTCTAAATTTTCTGAATAATATTTTTATATTATGTGTTAATCTCTTCAGTGGTCTATAGAAGAACTCTGGTTTCTTGCCCCCTGGGAACTTTGTTGTTTGCATGGGGCCATCCGCATTCCCATATCAGAATCCGCGTATTTAGTGCGTTACGTTACGAATGTAGCGATTGGCAGCGATGAAAATACGTGTCATTTTTGCCGTAGGTGGGGTTCAAATGCATGAGCCAAGGCTGTTTTTTTTTTAATGTAAAATTTGTATATTGATATATTTTAAACGTGTGATTCCTGTTGCGTTAAGGAATTCTTCGAGAACCCTGCATTCAGAGCTGATGGTCTGAAGATTTATCCAACGCTAGTTATAAGAGGAACGGGGCTGTATGAGCTCTGGAAGACAGGCAGATACAAGAGTTATCCGCCCAGCACACTCGTTGATCTGATAGCTCGTATCTTGGCTTTGGTTCCGCCGTGGACGAGGGTTTACAGGGTGCAGCGAGATATTCCTATGCCACTAGTCAGGTGAAGATTGGCATTTTATATCACAGTACAGTTTATATACCATGTAAATAAAAGGAAGTTGTGAAATATAAGAATATTGGTAATATAAAGTCTATGACAGTTATGGTGCTACTTTTAATTTATAATTTTTAAGTGTAAAAAATTGTTAATATGAGCCTTAATTACACAAGGCAGACAGACCGCAGAAACATGCAATTCAAATGTACCTCAGACGGCGGGTTCAAAATGATGCCGTTATAATCACAAATCAGTGCTCTTCAAAATTAAGCAACTCTGAGTCGGCATCTACGCACTCGGTTGCTGATTATTTTTGGCTGCTCGGACTCTTGCAATAAATGTAATTTCTTTCAAATGCATTTGATGTACGCCAGCTAGGCGTCCGCAGTGTAATAATTTCACTTTACTTTCTCACATTTAGTTCTGGAGTCGAACACGGAAATCTTCGCGAGTTGGCGTTGGCCCGAATGAAGGATCTAGGAATCGACTGTCGTGACGTAAGAACGAGGGAGGTTGGCATTCAGGAGATCCACCATAAAGTTCGACCTTATGAGGTGTGTTATGTAGACGGAGCTGTTACTAGTTGCAGAAATTTTTTTGGCTTTCTTGTAACTTTCAGACAGCGTAAAGCTCTCGTCAGCGCCCGTCAGTTCTTTGTGGGCTCTGAATGAATTTCAGTGTTCCTGTTGTATAAAGGGCGGAATGGGCTCGCATCAGATGCATTACTCCCTCACTTTTTGGTTGTGAGGTATATTCTGATGATATTATCGATAATTTTGTGTCAGTGTTGCTGTGGCTGGACCTGCGAGAAAATACAAAAAATTCTTGACTAAATATTGAGTGCTTGAAGAGTAAAGTTTTGTATGTTTTATTAATTTTCTTTAAATTGATGTGTAAGTGTGCTTCTAGGGGTTAAGCATTAATATTAATGGCATTGCCATTGTAATTAGAGTACATGTCTAATGGCCATTTTGAGTCACGAGAATTATACAAAATATAATATAATGTGTAATACGCAGAATCTTCGACTTGTATTAGCCATTTTGATACTGAAGACATTCTTAGACACGGAAGGCTAAAATATCAACAGTTGAAAGAATGTGGTCTTCACGTTACGACACCATGTGGTCGTGTACGTGGTTACCAGTGTTTCAGAGGAACATGCTACTTCCATCATCACGATAGAAATAAACCATAAGACTACAGGTGATCACAATTATCATGTAAATGGCACATCTCATGTAGAAGTGGAAGGTTCGTCCATGTAAAGGGGGAGTGTTACAATTTTTTTTTTTTTTTAAATTTTAGGTGGAATTAGTTCGACGTGATTACACTGCTAATGGGGGATGGGAGACGTTCTTATCCTACGAAGATCCTGAACAAGATATATTGGTTGGTCTCCTGAGATTACGAAAATGTTCGGAGGAAACTTACAGGTTGGTTAAACAGTCATTATTTTTATATTCCTTAATTGCAGGATACAGGTGTGAAGTTATTTCTGGCCTAAATATTGTGCGCTTTTGTTTGCACAAAATGCATCGGATGAATGCGTTTGCGAAGATTATATCCGTCAGATTATTGATGTTTCATCCGTCAGACTTCTGATGAAATTTTGTACTTGTGATCTCCATTAAAATTTCACATTCCTTTATATTTTAGTGATTTGTTAAGTGTATGGATACTTTTTAAGACGTTCTTATCCTACGAAGATCCTGAACAAGATATATTGGTTGGTCTCCTGAGATTACGAAAATGTTCGGAGGAAACTTACAGGTTGGTTAAACAGTCATTATTTTTATATTCCTTAATTGCAGGATACAGGTGTGAAGTTATTTCTGGCCTAAATATTGTGCGCTTTTGTTTGCACAAAATGCATCGGATGAATGCGTTTGCGAAGATTATATCCGTCAGATTATTGATGTTTCATCCGTCAGACTTCTGATGAAATTTTGTACTTGTGATCTCCATTAAAATTTCACATCTGCGTAATACAAATCATGATGAGACTTATCGGAAGTTTTGTGTTATGTCGTAGTGTTCTTAAAGCCTGGTTTTGATGAGCACGTGTTCAGCACCGTGCACTGTAACCATACCTTACTAAAACCCAAAATTAATAACCTAACCCAGATTAATGAAAACTAAAACTTTGATAAAACCACTAACCTCACCTAATGAAAAGTAAATGCACAGAATTTGAGTTTGTCCTGAAAAAACTATTCAGAACTATGAAGCATTACCATCCAAATAAGTTATTTTATGTTTTAGTTGCGGTTTTAGATTTTCATTAGGTTAAGTTGATTCTAAAGGGTTCTGATGATGGTAAAATTATTCATTATCAGAACTTTTTCCATCGTCTTTTCTTTAAAAAGAACCACGATGTTTCAGAGGCTGGTTCTGTCTCCGAAACGTCATGGGTTTTTTTAAAAGAAAATTTGACTCACAAGAACCGGTTAAAAGTGATTGGTCAGATGGGCCGTATCCCCCGCCAACTACCAGTATTTCATTTATTTTGAACTGTTCTGTACAAAAGAGAAAAAAATAGTATGTTGTCTTGCATTCTTGTATATTTGGTCATAATATCTTATTGTTCTAAAAAAATTTGAATTTGACAGAACGGTTTCCAGTACCAGTCCATTATATAGTATGTTTAATCAGGAAGGAAACTTCAGTCTTCCGGTACACCGATAACAAACTACCGCGCGCTACGCATGAAAAAATTAAATTTTTCCCGAAGCACCGGTGGCTAACAAATTGGAAATACAATTTTTTTCAAATAAATTACTTCCACTCAATTTTTCCAGACCAGAGCTGAAGGGCGGGGTATCAATTGTGCGTGAGCTGCACGTCTATGGGAGTGTGGTTCCAGTGAATGCCCGTGATCCCACAAAATTCCAGCATCAGGGATTTGGGATGTTGCTCATGGAAGAGGCAGAAAGAATTGCAAAGGAAGAACATGGATCTGTAAAAATTTCTGTAATTTCAGGTAGTAGTAATTCAGTTTAGCTGCTAGATATTAATTCTGATGCTGTACGTGTTGTTGAAAATAAATTCTATTAGCCAGGATTTTTCTTTTTCAGGTGTTGGCACTAGGAATTACTACAGGAAGATTGGGTATGAACTCGACGGACCATACATGTCCAAGCATTTGCTTTAGAGAAGAAACATTTTGTAGAAATAATTCCTGTGTGTGAATTGTAAATATAATAAACATTCACTGAATTTTTTATGAGGTTTTATTCTTATTGTTAACATGGTGTGAAAAAATAACATTTTTGTGCCACGTTTAATAAGTTGTGGTAAGTACACTTATAATTATTGTCGGCATACGATAATCCTCGCACTTTTGTTTTGACAAAGTCAAGAGTATGCATCACTTTGTTGAAGATTGCAGGGACCTCTGAAACGTCCGTAAACTTCTACCAGACTACACGGCGCAACGACCCAGAAGACTCGCTGGCATGAGAACCTCAAAGCCTACGTCACTTGGTTGTTTGGAAGAAGGGTAAAATGCCTTTCCCATTTTACTGATGTAACTGTAACTGTCACATAATTTTTAGTAAGAAATCTGTTGTGAACTGCTTTGTTATGGCCATTAGTACAATTCTGGATCATATCTTTTTTCCAGATTTATATGAGAATTCCATAATGCTTCTGAAGATACTGTTGGCTCATCAAGCTGTTGCCCTTTCATCTGGGTAGCATGGCCTCATGCCCCTCTGAAAATTCTCAAAAAATGTTCTGGAAGCTTGTCAGCCGCCTCAGCCGTGCTACGCTAGTTTGGAAAGGATCCATAACCTGGGACTTGGTTTGCTGCTTGGTAAGGCAGGTTTGATGAAGTCAAGGGTGATTCCATAGTGTTAGAGCAAGAATTAGGTTACATATATAAATAATAAAATTGATTTAAAAACAAATGGCTAAGTGCACTCTATTTTTAACCATAGTTTTGTTGATGCTTTGCCTCATTTTGTTTAGGATTGTTTAAACAATTTCAAGATTTCATTCATCACCGTCATGTTACGGGCTGAGCTCCTGGAAACGGCTCTAATCGCATTTTAATACTAATTATTACCACCAGATCTTGTAGTAGTTATGACAGATGTGGGTAGATGGCAGCACAGTGTATTTGACGTCATAGCACATTTGTATCGCCGGATATGTTTTTCTCCATCTACTGCGACGCTATGATTCCGTCTTGACTGAGAAAAAATCTAAAGGTAAAATTGTAACGCCATTATCGATGATTGCTCAGCTTCGAAACTGAGCATGCATCTTTATAGGTTATAGCTGCTTGCACATGGTTAATAAGTACGAAATGGCTGGATGGAATTTAATGAAATTTTGTACGGACGTGCCATAAGTGTATACTATAAACGCGTGATCATTGACTCCGAACACGGTAACTTAACCCCACTTTGTCTCTTCATAGTTGAGCTGGGCTGTAAATGCCTTTGCTACGGAAAGTGTCAGAGAATATGGTGTCGATCAGAATGTATGTAACAGGTGATTTAAGTGAAAACGTGCGCAGTTACCAAGCTCGACGTTGTTGTTTAAACGGTCAGTGATGGATGGAGGAAGAAGGCCTGGAAATTTGACTCGTTTACAAGGATGGGAGCGGCTGTGGACATTGTGTGATTTCCTACATATGGTAAGTTACAATTTGTAACAAAAGAATGTTGACAGATTGGAAAACTAGAATTTTCTTGCTCTCTGACTGAATTGTATTTTCCTGATTTTAATTATTTGATATTGCTTTCAATGTTATTTCACTTGATGTAAACATTTACGAGACGTGACCTCCCAGGGAGCGGTGGAATTATTTAGCCTGGGGGTGGCACCGCTGAATCGTGGCCCAGTGCTGTACTCTGCAGCCAGTGGACTTATTTGACTCTGGAGGTTAGTTACCCTAGCTTTTTATTTTAAAATCAAAACGTATTAAGTTACAGGCTCGTAGCAAATTGCATTTTGCTTTCGGTGATTTTTTTTTTAACTTTCGTAGATTTATATTTTTTTTATTATAGATCCATATTAACGTTCTAAAACACGAAGGCCATCTAAGAAATGTTTGAAACTTAAGTTCCTACCTCAAATGTAATCCTACTTGCCTTCTTTACATGGAAACTATATTTGTTTCCAAAATAATACAAAATTCATAAATACGCTGCAGGCTAAAGTCAGATTTGTGAATGTTAAAGCAGGTGGTACGTGCAGTTATGATATACAGTGGAACATCGTTGTACCGCGGACTCATTACACCGCGGCTGTCGTCACGTTTTACGTGACTATTTTCGCAAGGTGGCAAAACTGTTTAGTAATTAAGAGTGATCCGTGTCAGTAGCATTGGTGAAGAATAAGTTTGAAACGTACCTTAAATTTCACGTATTTTAGTCACTGGATAATTATACATAATATCAGGGATTCAAAAATTAGATACATGACAATTTCACACGTAACGCGGGTACTTAATCTGTCCCCCGAAACCCGCGTTATATCGAGGTTCGAGGGTTAAGACAAAGGGAGATCAGGTCATCTCAAAGAGCTGGACAGAGGAAGAAATAGAAATGCGGACAAATATCTCCCAGCGTCACCCACACCTTGAGATCGGACTGCGATAGTAGTGGATGACTCAGTAAGTAGCTTAGTGGTGTGTGATAGGTACAGTACCTTTTTTGTTTACTTTTCTTTGGAATGTGTACAGTCCAACAAAAATAATATTTCCTTTATATTTTAGTGATTTGTTAAGTGTATGGATACTTTTTAAAAGTCTTTTTAGTTATACCCCCCCCCCAGCCCCTCAGAAAACCGGTGGCATTCGGTGGATTGCGTTCAACTGTTCTCACCACGCGAGGATTGTGGAATTAAGGCGTGTACTGGTTGCAATTAATGTACTGTTTTGTGCTAACAGTTCAGTCCAAGTTACTGCTTGCGATTTCTGTACTATTTTCTAGCTACGGTTCAAATCCAGTCTACTTTTAGCCCCCAAAATTTATTTAATCAAATATTAAGTGAAATTTTCGTCGAAACAATAATAGAATGTAACGCGAGAACAATGGGTTTTGTGTCTGGTGTGGTGAAGTTGTTGTGTGTGAGACCTGATGGACAATGACCAATCAACAACCTTGCCCAGTGTCGTAGCTGTGCGCGCGCACGTCTCCCCCACTCCTCTCGTAGTGTCTGCGAGGGACGAACTGGTATAACGACCACGCGAGTCGAACGAGCTCCACGCGGTCGGAGTTGTTCTAGCGTTTCGACAGAGACGGTCACGACTGAACTTGTGTTTTCCTCTCCCGCCAAACAATGTCATCGCACCGGGCGTTTGTTTTCGTTGGTGTTACTCTCTTTCTCTTGGCAATTGAGCTAAATCGCGTGTCGTGCGGTAGCTGTCGGGAATCCAAGTTGTGTTGCCCCGGTCGTGATTCTTCGTGCGTGGTCCAGAAGGCCCCCATCAATGCCATCATCGAGGACCTGAGTGATAAACCTTGTTACTGCGACCACGCGTGCCTCAAGCTGGGAGACTGCTGTTCTGATTTCAAGGACGCCTGTGGAGGTAGGTGCTCGGTTCATGTCACCAGACGCCATTGCAGAGATTTACGTAGCGTCAGATTGTCTTGTTCGGTGAACTTTAAAGGGTTGGACGGGAAGTGGTCGTGGCGTATTTTAAGGCCTTGTCCCAGCAGTGTTTTGAACAGACTGATAATACCACGAAAATCATTAAGATAGTCAATGTTACGGACGATTCTAACAATTTCCAGGGATTATTATTTTCTTAAACAGCGTTGAACAGTTGGCGTGTGGGATGGAGACGTGTTTAACCTCATTATCTTGGCATGGAGTCTGTTAGTTGGGGCTGTTGAAAATATTATTGTTCGCGATGTGTGACATTGGAGAGATGACAAATGCGTAAAGTATTTTGGTGGGAAAACCTTTCGGACTTTGGAGACATGGGCCAAGATAGTCGAATAAAAATAAAATGGAACTTAAAATTTGTTATAAAAGTGAGGACTGGATTCAACTGGTTAGGAAAAGGGTTCATTGGCGGGTTCTTGTGAACACAATAATGGACGTTCGGATACCGTAAAGGAAGGATAATTTCTTGCTTAAGAAAGCGACTATCCTTGATATTTGTATGAACTTCTGTGATATTCATTGTCCCGTCAGTGAAGAGTAACACACAGGCCACATTGTTAGCGTTCAATAATTTATACGTACGTATTTTGTGTTTGAGATTTTAAGTCACAAGTGTTCGTAAAAAGCAAAGACAATTATTGTTGTTATTGATTGTCGTATGTTTTGTGTTAATTTAAACGTTGATTGTCGTATGTTTTGTGTTAATTTACACGTTAAGTGTTTATAAATGTAAAAATAACACACTATATAAATGATTATTAAAAAGTTATTCCTGTAACATCGGAATGCTTTAAACCAGTGCACGTCGGGCTGAGTGTCACCTGACATTCCTTATCTGTTGTTCGGTGGGTAAGTTTATTGTTACTAGGGCGGGAGACTTTTCGTGAAAGTCCTAACGGGCCCCATGTTTTGTTGAGTTACTACCTTATTCCCACCCCTGAGTTTACCTGCGCTCGCCGCCCATGTTCGATGTCAGTTCTGTGTTGAGACGAAACAATTGGAAGGAAAGGGAACTCACATTAATACTTCTCTGAGTAAGTGAATTGCAAGTTTTCATTTCGCGCCCTGCATTGCGAATTGTTGTTGTTTTATCTTCCTGTGACTAGGTCTCTAGAACTTTCTTCACAAATGTGATGAATTATGACGAAACAATCCAGTTCGTTTCGGAACCACGCTGTCAGTTGTCTTAAAATCGTCATCAGATTTCAAATAAATAAATACGAAAACAAAACCGACCTGTGTTTTACCAATGAATGAGTAAAAATAGCCGAAGACCCACGCGCTGTGGTAGCGGAACCTTGGAGTTCCACGATTCCAAATCCTGCCATTTGACACGATCCTGAGCTATTTCCATCTACAGTCCAGCCTCATAACCAGTTTCCTTAACGCCCATATTAATGTTATCCTCCCATCTACTTCTTGCTCTACCAAGTGACTGTTTTCCCACCAAACGTTCTATATGCCTTTCCCATCGTATCCACAAAATTCACTTGAACACTTTTCATAAATAAATATGCTTACGCGTCGAGGCGAGGGCAACGATAATGATGTGACGTTTCATTGACTCATTTTTCAAAACATACGACGTAGTATCAGACGCCTGTTTCGACTTAGCGTGGATTGGCCTCAGGAAGGCGGCGAAGGGAATGAATAGCAGAGCCTGCCGGATATCCAGTCGTCGCCAGTCACTTATTGACTGCTTCTGTAGGCAGACGCTGGGATTATAATCGCCCTTCAAATACGCGGCTACGTAAATTCTGAATCCGTTTCTATAATTCATGATCGTCGTCCCAGCTGTTTCGATGCTGTTTGATACTTCAGGTTAAATAAATGACGTCAGAGCAGGGCTTACGTTGATCATACCATCTTGTAAGAAGTTATGTAGCTGATAAACTGTCGTTAAATGTACGGAGACACGAACAAGTGAAATTATGATGGCAATCTTCTGGGTTGTAGCGTTTCGGAGGTCCTTGCTGCCTCCATCATCAGAGCGATGAACGTCTTATCTGACAGCCCAGAAGACAATCTTGAAAGTCTCTTTTCACCAAGTGAAATGATGATGGAGGTAGACTTCCAGCAAAGCATAAAACAATGTTTTTGACGTGACTGTAGGCGCTGACTGTGACCCCCAGGTGCTCGGCTGTCAGCTGTTGTGTGGATGTCAGTGACCGTGGAGAGTCAGAGGTCACATAGCGACTAGCTCGTTATGCTGTACAGTGCTGCCGCCCTGTGGCAACTGCAGTCATTTGTTTCGTGTGTTCACAGGCTTTTAAGTCGAGGTGTGGATTTTGTTGAGACGTTCGCTTCTCGCTAAGAGCAGGGGCAAAGCGTAGAAATACATTTTGGTGCCTCCCCCCCCCCCAACTTAATCGTCAAGATATCAGACGAACAGATTAAACGATTAAATTTGTCATTGGACGATGTTCTTAATCCTGTTAATTCGTGTCAGCAAAATCTATTCGAAAGAACCGCAATGTAAGAGATCAAGTTTTACGCTCATACAAAACAAAAGGTAATATTACAGTCGTGTAAAATTGTAATTTACTAATGGCGGCGTATAATCAGGGACGTAATTACGTTATGAATAGCCTGTGTATGTAAATTTTATTTATTTTCTTTCTTTCAAGTGTCTGTGCTTGAAATTTGTCGCTTTTTAAACTTTAGGCCATGTTAAATATTTACTAAATCAAGAGACGCGAACAGCTGTAATTATCGGGCGCTGTCTGATGGCCTAATCCTCCATTTAAGGATTCTACAGCCTGTTTTAATGACGATTTAAAAAGGAACGCTCGTGTGGGATCGTTCTGTAGATCTAATGATCCCTCTTTTGTCAAGCTCCGTACTGCGTCTCTGTCTGCATATTCAGTAATTGTTGTAACAATCTGTAACCAGAGTAACCAGGGGTCACGCAGTGTAAATTTTGAGGGATTAAATTATCATACTTAACATAGAATTGCATTCTCCGCACGTACACATTAAGTTGGTATTACTGGAAGCGTACAGATTTTATCTGCTAAAAAGGCCTTTTTGGTTTTAAAGTGCAGGTTGCCTGATTATATTCTGAGCGCGTAGAATATCACAGCGGATGAATAACATTTGAGTCTCCACTGTTTCATTGCTCAGTTAAAGTCGTAAGTCCCTGACGATCGTGTATTGTGGCCGGCTCAGATCCTTAATAAAATGTTTCCGAATTGAATTTGAGATAAAATTCCGGTTATCTTGATTGAAGTTTCTCGTGGGTTTCCTCAGTTGTTCGAGACAAATGCTGGGATATTAACACAACCTTTCAGATACTTACCTAGCCACTCTGTATGATGGCCTCATAAAAAGAGCGTTCTCCTTACCGTTAGCCGCCATATTGCAAAAGCTGACACCTGGCGGCGAAACGCGTAACTACTGGTGGATTGAGAGTTTTCTCTATCCACCAGTGTAATGATAATTGTCGTATGTTTAATGCATTGCCCCACAAAAATTCACAAAACCCCGACAATCTTTTTGAATAGCCCTGTATTTAGAGTCTTCAGGCACATTACGACTTATGAAAAATCTACACTTTGTTTTCTTTCGCGCTGGAAGACGGATTAATCCTTTGAAGCCAAAGTTCGTGTAAGAAAACGGTTCAGTCCCTACCTCAAAGAAAACACAACCTGCCACCGTTACAAATATCATTTGGTTAACGCCGTTTTAGGAAATCATCTCAGTTTATTTAAAGAATTATAAAAAAAACAATTTTAAATACAAACTGTGAGTGAAAAGTATAATTTGGTTCTTACCTCGGGGTTAATTGCTTAAAAAACTTTAACCGTGTGCCCGCTCGTGTCCTTGATGTTAAATCCAGACGCCTCTGAGATACCAGCTCCACCTACTTGGCTGAGTTTGGACTACATCGGACAGAAAAAGGCGTTACATCGGAATAGTTCATTCTGACAATGGGGATGTACGGAAGTGGAGTGGATTTTGTGTAAATTATATTGTAAATAAAGCGTTTTAAGGGACGGGCAGACCGGAGATTCGTTCTGGTCCTATCCATTGTCAAATCATGCCGGATACGAGCTAAATACCGTTCAAATTTAATAATATAATAACAGTTTGTAATAATTATAAATCAAAAATGCGAGTTGTGAAGCAGGTTGCGGTAAATTGACATCAAAAATAATTAGGCCTAGCCCCTTTCTGGACCTGATGTCATTCACCCACAACTTTCAATTATGTACTGCACTATCATTTGCTTTTTGCATGATTGAAATTTGCAATTACTGAATGGAATTACTGCAGAATGAGTTCATTTACATTTTATATCCACTGTTTCTCTGGTTGTTATATAAAAACTTAACAGGCCATTTGATATCGAACCACAATAAAAGTTAATATTTTGATAGATATTGCTTCGTTAATTCGAAAGATAAAATAAAATTTGTTTTATCCTGAAACGTTGATGGGAATCGAAATGTCAACGGAACAGATGCTGTCCCGATGTGGTTAATGACTTCTCTAGTAATTCACATGCATTTGTGTAGTGATTCCGTGTCAGGGCACACTGATGCTGACGGTCGCTCAGCTGGTTATGGAGCGTGAAGTTTATTGCCGTGTTCGATACTGGACCATATCCTTAGCAAGTTGAATCCATTAGATATCTTTACAAGGTGTTTAATCCGTTTTAATATTATCCTCTCCTGAAATTAATTATTGTCATGTCCGATACTGGACCATATCCTTAGCCAGTTGAATCCATTACATGTCTTTATAACTAAAAATCCGTTTTAATATTATCCTCTCCTCAAAATAATTGTTGCCGTGTCCGATACTCGACCATATCCTTAGCCAGTTGAATCCATTACAAGTCTTTACAAGGTGTTTAATCCGTTTTAATATTATCCTCTCCTGAAATTAATTATTGGCATGTCCGATACTGGACCATAT